CCAAACTTAACAGAAGAATCTTGATGAAATCAAACATCAACGAAAATGGTATGTTCATTAATCAGACCTAAGGATCGGAAACTCATGAATGATTGAAATTAAGTTCATATTATTCCTGAATCATTTTACAACTTATTCAAGATTATCTATGCTTTCTCTAAACTTCTTTCTGTCCTGGAGTAACAAGCTGTTTCACATGTTTCACGTACGATTTCACGTCCAAGCCTTTTTTCACTGTTCATCCAAATGATTATAGATTGAGTTGGATCTTTTCTAATTAAACACTTTAGCTCTCTTTGAAATGATGATCTCTCTTCTTGTTTTGATCACCTGATTCAGTTTTCCTCTCTGATGCTCCCTCTTTTTTTTTAAACATTGATAGTTTTTGAATGGACTTTAAAGAGAGAAGCCAGAGTATGAATGTTGATACAATTACTGAAGGCCTGAATGATCTTTTTCCTCTCCACATTGCTCAGTTGAGAAGACAGTGTGGCTGACACAAAATGATTTTAACCTGTTCTCTTTCTATCTGAATGACTCAAAGGGATTTTCAGTGATTCTTACCACAAATGGTTTCAAGATCTTATCGCAAACACTGGAAAAAAGGAACTCAGTGAGTTTAGTGGTTTTTAGATATTAAACATTTTGATGGATGGATAATTATGCTGTTACACGATTTGGACAATTTTGCTGTTACGCTATATATATATATATATATATATATATATATATATATATATATATATATATATATATATATATATATATATACGATGTTTGATTAAGTAAAAGGACAGGTGCTAAAAAGAAAACTACAACACATATCGATTCGTCATTTACTCGTTGCATTCTTTTAGACTTCCTCGACGTCTTGAAATCTTGTTCTTTTCAAGTAGCAATCAATTTTTTAAAAAAAGGAAAAAGTCGCAAGCGGCCAAATCTGGGGAAGAGGGTGCTTGTCGGAGCTGGAGAATAATGTCCTTGGCCAAAAACTGCTGCAGAAGCAAAGGTCACTGACAGAACAATTGTGTTGTAGTGAAACGACCACACTCTACACACTTTCCTTCAAAGCACTGTTATAAACAATGGAAGTCAACAAGAACATTATATCTTAGTGTGTCAAGCGACTTTACTCCACATACTTTAGCTCCGTTACCATTGCAACAGTCCTGATACTTTTTTATCATAAATCGTATATATATATATATATATATATATGGGGGGGTAGGTGTGTGTGTGTGTGTGTGTGATTGGTTGGTGTGTGCGTGATATACATATTTTTATCATTTCAGGCTTGCCTAGGGGAGTAAAGCTTCCCATACTCGCACTACAGCTGCCGACCACCTGACGATTGTGTAAAAGCATGAAACTTACTGTAGTTACCGTACGCTGTGCGGCAGAAATTTAATTCGTAATTTTGAAAAGTGCTGCCATTTTATATAGCGTACGGCAACTTTTCTTTACGGTGCGCATTCACGGCAGACTCATTGTAAGAGCCTCTTATTTCTACCATATTTGAATTTAGGAGCTCGATTCGTTTGAACATTTTTTTGCTTGAAAGTTTTAAGGCTCCTTGACCGTAGCCCCATTGTTCAGTGCAGCGTTGAGCACTTTTTCGCCGCATCGACAAATTACTTCTGTTTATTTTTGGTGGTGGTGGGGGGGTGTAGGGGCTACGAATGCATGTTTACGGCTTTATTTGATTTTGGACGGATGGCTGTTTAAACACCCTCCTTCCAGGTGAGTTTGGTTGGTGTATATGCACGTACCGGGTATATATTTATCTCAGACTTGCATAGGGGAATAAAGTTTCCCATTTGAGACCATTCATTCATTTTTGTCTTCGTACGAACCCTGATTAAAGTATATAAAATTTATTTATCCCCCACTCCTGTACAATTTCAATCCCCTTACGCATCCCTTTTATTATATATATATATATATATATATATATATATATATATATATATATATATTATATATAAATTTACAATTGTCACAAAGCAGATTGATGTTAGATTCAGCACCCTGACTACAGAAATTTGTAGATGAAGCATTTTGTATTTGTTCGGTTCACTCGTCATATATATATATATATATATATATATATATATTTATTCTAAAATTCCCAGCACCCCTTTGTCGTGCACATGTGTAGTCCTAACAACGTAACAAATTTAGTCCAATGATATTCTGAACGACGAAACATGTCACTTGGAAACTATTTTTCCCAGTTCGTTATACAAAAATATATATATATATATATATATATATATATATATATATATATATATATATATATATATATATATATATATATATATATATATATACGCACATATATATATATATATATATATATATATATATATATATATATATATATATATATATATATATATATATATATATATATATATATATATATATATATATGATCTTAAAATAAAGACACGCACACATACATTGTGTGTTTGAGGCACGTTTGGGTGTGTATAAATTCTAGAGTATATGTTTCACAATGTTAGTTTACTTTACCCAACTTTTGATATCATAGATTACATAGCGAGGTCGATTATACTCTTACGCTCGTTGAGGTTGACAATGGTCGTAATTTGATCAATTATCGGTGGCAATTATGGGAGATGCACTGATCGCAGTGATTACCCATCCGTGGCATGCTTAGAAGACATCTTTTTTTCGAGATAACCAGAGATGGGATAAACCGCAGGGTGAATTGTAGTGATTTTCTAAGCGTAGTTTAGATGTGGCACAAGGCCTAAAGAAGGGGGCATCCAGTGAGGATCGAACTCACTACTCAGTCGTAATTGTTCTAGTGAGTCATGCTTGCTAACCATTACACCACCTTGGAGTGCCCAACGCAGGGTGAATCTTAATTCTTGGAAGAGAATGTTGTATGCAGAGATTTTCCGAATGTATTCGTAAACAGAAGTAAACTCTCTCGAAATTTTACTTGACCTCACTTACTGGGACACAACCATCATTTTGATTTTGTCAACCTATTTGTTATTTTATAAAACAATTTTTTTCATTCGTTTTGAAAATAATCTATTGACAATAAATGAAGTTTGGTAACATCATAAAAAAGTAATAGTAATATTAATAATATCCGTTTCCTTATAAGGAAACGGTCACCATTCATTCGACCGGAAAAATAAATATTCAGGAAGATAGTTTTCTCGATTTCAGCAACTGCTATCGCTCTTTCCAGTACTGATGGGGTTTCCTACCTAATCTTTTGTTTGAAGTAGTGTGGAACGTCAACATTTTTATTCTGTCATTATTTTCTATTCTATTTACATAGTTATATGCTACAGTTCTTTGTAATTGTGCAGCGTCAGTCAACAAGTTTCGATGAATGAATGTCCACTTTACGACCTACATGCTTCATTTATTCAAAGCCAGTTTTATTTGTTGATCTGAATAACCGCTTGTGTACCTTTGGCCGTTTCGACATTACTGAATGCGTTGGTCGCTATGCATAGCATCGATATAAAAGTCTAGATTTGACGAGGCTAATTAAGAATATGAGACTATTCTTTTGGTTAAAGTTTTCTTAACCTGGCATCTAGCCGTCTTGGACAAAACTTCCCTTACTGTTGCGTATTCTGTCTTTGATTTCTTCATCTCCTATACAAAATTTGTTATAACTAATCGACACACAGAAGTATTTGAAATGTTTAGTATTTATTCGTTACACATGCAACGCTTTCATTCCGATTTCAGACTATGTTTTCTGTTTTGGAATGTGTAACTTGAATCTTAATTCTTGGAAGAGAATGTTGATTTTTTTTTTGTTAATACCAATGTCATCACCATGAATATTGAAGGAATAACAAAATCACTGATATTCATTTTTTTTTTTAAATCGAAGCAACACCGTGTATGGAAGCGATTAACAATATACGAAACATCCTGATTGGAAAATAAGTAAAACGGAAAAGAAAAAAAATATCAAAAATTGAACTTCATTAGCCGCCATTTTTTTAAGTCTTCATTTTTTTTACCTTTTTCATAGTTGCCTTTTAACGATGATTAGATCATTTTCTTTCTTTCTTTCTTTCTTTCTTTCTTTTCTGCACCGCCCTCAAATCTTTCTTTTCCTTTCTTTCATACTTTTACATTTTTCCTTGGTCTATTGTCCAAATAATTGCTTTCACTTTCTTTCTTTCGTTCTTTCCGTCCTTCTTTCTTTTACTCATTCGTTCTTTCTTTCTTTCTTTCTTTCTTTCTTTCTTTCTTTCTTTCTTTCTTTCTTTCTTTCTTTGTCTGTTTGTTTGTTTGCTTATCTGTTTGTTTGTCTGTTTGTTTCTTTCTTTCTTTTCTCTACACCGCAATGTTTTCTTTTCCTTTCTTTCTTTCTTTCTTTCTTTCTTTCTTTCTTTCTTTCTTTCTTTCTTTAACGTTTTTCTTGTTCTTTTTTCCAAATACTTGCTTCTCTTTCTTTCTTTCTTTCTTTCTTTCTTTCTTTCTTTCTTTCTTTCTTTCTTTCTTTAAATAGTGATTTTTTCCTTCCCTCCTTCTGCATAATTATATTTTTTATCATTTATGTAATCATCATCATCATCATCATCATCATCATCATCATCATCATCATCATCATCATCATCAAATACCGTTTGTAACTTACTTTTTCTTTTCTTTTTTTTCATAATTGTTTCCGTTATTTTTCCGATTTTTCCTTCTTTTTTTGTTTGTTTCTTTTTTTTTTTTTTATTAATGATGTATTACCACGTCAGCTGTGGACGGCATCTTAAGACAAGACGCAGTCGTTTGACTGATCAGTTTGCAAGATGAAAGGTCAAAGAGAATTGAATACCCGACGAGGTCAAACAATCTCTCGACAGCTATCCTTCCCCAAGAATGAAGGCATTAACCATTGTCATACGATGATCCTCCTACCACCAGCAGCACACGCACACACATACACACAGTAAGGCAAATACGTTCACTCTTATGCTAAATAAATATATTGAACAATGTACTGTAAAATTTTCCTTTTCTTGAAATTCTCTCTTTCACCGTTGGTAACTAATCGTTAGAGAACACGTCACAATGTTATCTGATATCCGATAAAAAAATGAGAACGGATGCTTAATTCAAATAATAGATGCATCTTGTTTTGAAATAATCTTGTCCCAGATTAGTCGGGCCAAATATGATAGTCGTCATCTTGTTTGGCAATAAATTGACATATTTCCTTTCTTATTTGATTTAGGAAATGTGTGTCTGGAGCAATTAATTAGGGAAGTTTAACAAATAAGGAAACATTGCTTCTGTTAATTAATGGTTTTATTTTGGTTTTGTTTGTTCACGACATATTTTTCCCCGATACTTATTTGTTTATTAGATTTTTCTTTCCTTTCCTACAACTGTTTTCATTAGTTTTTATTTTCCATACACTTTCTTTGTTGCCTTTCTTCATTTCTTTCTTTCTTGCTTTTGCCTTTTCTTCCCGTTGCACTTCCACAATACTTGATTGTTTCATACCTTTATTTAATTCTATTTTTATTTTTCTTTCTTTCTTCCATGTTTTTCATCACTTTCTTTCTTTTTCTCTCCACGACTTTTCTTTCTTTTTCTTTTACACTTTTTCTGGTTCTATTTTTCCAAATACTTTTTCTTTCTTTCTTTCTTTCTTTCTTTCTTTCTTTCTTTCTTTCTTTCTTTCTTTTGCATTATTTTCGTCATCTCTTTTTGTTCTTACATTCTTTTACACTTTTCCTCGTTGCATTTCCTAAATACTTGATTTTTGATCCCTTTCTTTCTTTTTCTTTCTTTCTTTCTTTACATCCCTTTCTTTCTTTCTTTCTTTTTCTTCTACATCGTTTTTAATTGTTTTGTTTCCTTTTGTGTTATTTTGTGTTATTATATTTCTTTCTTTCTTTCTTTCTTTCTTTCTTTCTTTCTGCATATTTTGAAATTTATGCATTTATGCAGGTTGTTTCAAACTTATGTAAATTAAAACTGCACAATATATATGGAGCTCTCCCTGGATCTATTTTCTCCTGGAAATTCCATATAGATTACCATATTTTATCATTATATATATATATATATATATATATATATATATATATATATATATATATATATATATAGATAGATAGATAGATAGATACAGACAGACAGACAGACAGGCAGACAGAAAGAGAAAATGAAAGAGAGAGAGAGGTGAGGGGGGGGCTTATGCTAATGGTAAAGAGGAATGTTTGATTTATGCAGGTTTGATTGTAGACCAAACGTATTTTCACTAAATTTCTCTTTTTTTCAAGTTTTTCTACAACACCATTTTTCGTTTTTACCTTCTTTCTTTGTTTTTGGTTTTCTGTACAGCTTACCTTTTTTTCCTTTTTTTACAGTTTATTGTCCAACTCATTCAATTGTTCCTTCTTTCTCACATGTTTTCCAATAAAGAACTTCATTTTATTTTTCTCTTTTTGTACTCTTTTCCTCTACAAATCTTTCATTTCTCACTTTTCAATTCTTTCTTTTTTTTTTCTTACTTTTTCTCGTTTCTTCCTTTCTTTCTTTTTTCTTTTTCTTTTCTCTTTTCTTTCTTTTTTCTCATTTCTTTCTTTTTCTTGTTTCCTTTCTTTCTTAAATTATCGTTTCTTTCTTTCTTTCTTTCTTTCTTTCTTCACTACACATCTTTCAATACCTTTCTTATATATTTCTTCTTTCTACTTTTTCTCTATACAAATATTTAAACTCCTTTTTTATTTAAATTAAATTAAATTTTAATTTTTTTCATTTATTTTTTGTACTTTACTATAGTTTTCTGTCATGTCTTCTCAATATTTCATTTTGTCTTCATGCTCAATTCTTTTTTTCTTTTCCTTTTTACTTTCTTTTTTAATACTATTTAAATATTTCCCTTACTTTTTATATTTTTTCGATTACTCATTTCCTTTTATTTTCTTACTTTGATTTATCTCGTATTTTCATTTTAAATTTTTCTCTGCTGTTTTCAATTCTTTCTTTCTTTCTTTCTCTTTTGATTCTTTCTTCATTTAACAGAGCGTAAAAAAGGATGAATATGATGTTCAATCGCCAGCTAATAAGTGTAGATAATAAATATTTGTCAAGTATCATCTTTATATAAGCTCTATGCATACACTGTGTAATGATATTGGCAAACTTCTTCCTAATATTACCAGACAAGTTAGAGTACATGCCATTCCAGTACCTATCTTACACATTTTAAGTCTATCATTCATTCATGGTCTGGTGCTTCTGCTGTGCATTTAATGATTCTTCATGAAATACAAAGAAAAAACCTGCAATGTTGTTGCTATTGGCTTGACTTCCCGACTTCAGTCACTTTCCCATCGACGCCTCCCAGTAATTTTCTATAGATAATTTATGGATAATTGTTCTTTGGTACGTAGACTTTATGAATTTAATTGTCGTACTCTCTCTCTCTCTCTCTCTCTCTCTATATATATATATATATATATATATATATATATTTATTCAAAAATTAAAAGTATGTTATAACATCACTAAAAAATAACTATTTTGTACTCGGATATTGTTATATACCGTACTTATGAACACTATTGGGTATGTTCCAATCTTCACAAATACGTTGCACACTATTGTAAGGGGTGGGGTAATATACCATCTAAGTAGTCCACCACCAGCAGTGGTTTAGCGACTTCACGCCGTTGGCGAGTAGCGTATTTTGTTGATGTTATAAAGATTACCAATTCATTTCCAATCTCCATTTTGGTTAATCCTCATTCATTAACCTTTCCTAGGTTATTACACACACACACACACACACACACACACACATATATATATATATATATTGTACTGGATATATATATATATATATATATATTGTACCTGGATATATATATATATATATATATATATATATATATATATATATATATATATATATATATATATTGGATATATATATATATATATATATATATATATATATATATATATATATATATTGTACTTTCGGATATATATATATATATATATATATATATATATATATATATGTCAGTTTAAATATTTATAGACATGCATGAAATTTCATTTAATATTTAACTCAAAACAAATTGGGAAAGTTATAAAAGGAAAACTTACAGATTTTATTGCCATATTATTGGACCAGACATGGCCTCTCGGCTTCAATCAGTTTCCCACCGCCGTAACGTAGCTTCCCATTCCTTTTCTTGTAAATAATTTCATGCTAATTGTTCTGATGAATCGTTGATGACTCTATGAATTTAGGCGCAATATTAGATTGGTGGTGAGATCTCATCATTTTTCATTTGAAATGGCTACATGTAACCGTAGGTTCTATGCTAAGAGTTTCTTCTCTCGCACTTCTCGACTTTGGAATCCGTTTCCGGTTTCTTGCTTTTCAGTCAATTTTGATCTTCAAAAATTTAAGTGCGATGTCAATCTTTTACTTCTGTCTTAATTCCTTTTCTTTTTTCGTGCTGTCTCCTTAATAATGTTTTCTTTTTCTCATATTTACTCATACTCAGTAACCCTTAGTGGCTTTATTACCTTGCATGGATTGGAATGATTTAAAAAAAGTGGAAAGTTCTATCAGAAGAAAATAGAGGGTGAATGCCAGTAAATGATTCGGTGTCTCCGCGTTTGTGTCCGTGTTTTCAACAAAGACAAAGAAAATAAACCTAAGATTTAAAGGACTAACAAATCAAAAGTGTCATATTGCGTACACAAATGTATATACATTTATCAATACATTTAATTATACATTTAGCGACATTTACGAAAGGCAACGAAAGAATCCGTTTTAAGGAAATCCTTTAGACATATCCCTGTCTTGTAAGGAATGGAAATGAAGAACCGTTTACTTACTTCTCTTTATTTATGTGGTCATTACTGCGTATCGGTGTAGGAGACCATTATTTTAGTCATCTCTTCAAGAGTGCCTGTTCACGATTTTACCAATCCTTTCCCAAGCCGCATTTTTTCGCTACAAAATTTAGTATTTTTGTTTAGCGTCATAAGAAACTAGCAAGTTGGTCTTTGATTTTTACTGTTGAGTTTTGAGTTCGATCATTATTAGCAGCTCTTTAACTGATTCCTTGCTTTCTAAGTAAGCTATGGTTACTAAAATACTATTGTTCGATTCGTCCAGGGTGTCTGGTTAGTAGTGGGTAAGCTAGTATTTGAAAATCATTAGTGAGTTTAATCCTCAATGGATTTTAAACATTGCTGACCTTGTACTAAAATAACACTAAGCTTAGTAAATAATTACATATATAATTTCTATTTACTCAGTCAGTGGTTAGAACTTTAGCATACTGTCAGCGAGGCCGACGTTTGAATCTCATCACAACCGATTTGTCCAGGCGATAATTTCTTAATACGATCTCTGCGTTCGGCACTGTCGGAATGTGAATGAAAGCAATATCACACGTTGAACCAAGTCTTGTGAGTTGACGAAAAGGACAATTCATTGTGACCGACAGTTCGAGCAGACAAGTCGAACTTCTGATACCCTCTCTCCCAGAACTGTAAAAGGTTGGTTCTGTGGATGTTGAACAAACACAAAAAAAGGGCTGAGCAGTCCTCTTCATCGTGGATTAACTAGCCACCTTAGTCGACTCCATAAACTCTCGAGACTTACGGATGTTACTAACATCTCTGTGTTTTTATCGTAATTTATATAAAAAAAAATATATATATTAAGATTTAGTTATGACTAGCAGTATAGCCCGGCGTTGTCCGGGGATGTAACAGTAAAAGATAGATCAAGTATCGACCATCATAAAGACTGAAAAATAAAATTGACAAAGATTATTGTTTAAGGTTGACGGACACGCATGTCTTAATTAGTTTTTTTTTTTTTTTTACGAATTGGTCAAACCCAAACTCAAACAATAACATTGTTTTCGATCGTTATGGATCTACCGATTGAATAGAATTTTATTATAAACAATTGTCTTGTAAATGGAATTTTTAAAGCATTCTGTATTTAAAAATAAAGAAAAAAGTGTGCAAGACAATAAGAAACACTACCTGCCAAAAAAAAGTGAAGTTTTGTTGAAATCGGTTGAAAAATGTAGGAAATCCGATCCCATATATAAACGAACACACACACACACACACACAACCTGGGTTTTATAATAAGTATAACTCGATATGAGTTGTCCCCCTTTCATTCTCGTGATGCCTCTTAATCGTGTTTTCAAATTGATTTCGTGCAAAAACAATTGTGTTTTTCCAATTTCTGGCTTTGTTAGAACCACCGCAAGGTAATTTTACGTAGTCCTGTGAAGTTTTGTTGAAATCGGTTGAAAAATGTAGGAAATCTGATCCAATATATAAACGTACACACACACACACACACACACACACACACACACACACACACACACACAATCTGCTTTTTATAATAAGTAAGATTTCCCGATGTTTATCTTATTTGAAGTAAGGTTTAGAGTTCGTCATTAAATACATAACATCGATGAATTGAGAAAATGTTATTTTGTTTCTAAAAAAAAAGAAAGGATTGCTCGTAAAAACAATCCTTTAAAGCAAAGAATTATTATCTCTTCCCAAACTGGTTACAAATGACGATGCAAAATCAGGTCCCAGCATACATATAGCGGCTCATCGTTCCACACGTGTAGGAGTAATGGAGACGTTGGTCATGTTTGTCCCTTTGGGCATGCGCAGGTGGTTCAGCACGGTTTGTTCCAGCGGCTATTTCGATCAATCATGTCAGTTGAATGATGCAAGTCGGACATGTTTGGGGGCAAAAGGAAAATGGTCTTTTGTTAGAGAGAATCAAATACAGCACCACATGGTGAGGCATTTCGATAATATACAGGGTGCGATAGATAAATTGTCGTCTAAATTACGCAAAAATGAAACTAACTTTGACATTTCATTTTAACAGATACATTTACTAAAATTACACAAAAATTATCTTAAAATACTAAAGAGTAAATTTATTAAATAAAATCGCCAATGGATTCAAATACAGCCCCCCCCCAGACTTGCAACTCTTCTGGAAAATCTCCTTGTTTAAGTTGGTGAATGTTGCCATAATCCTTGCCTTCAGGTCATCTTTGGTGTTACAAGGAGTTTTGTTGGTTTCTCACTCAACTGCGCCCCACACATAATAATCAAGCGGGTTGCAGTCTGTGGAGATAGGTGGTCAGATGTAAGGGGTGATGTGGTCTCAGAAATTGTCTGCCAGCCTTGACTGGGTTCTTGTGTGGCATGGTGCAGAGTCCTGTTGCCAAACATATGTTTGCCCAGCAGTTACCCTCATGACACAAAGCAGCACTACCTCCTCAAGGCACTTGATATAGGAAGCCGTGATAAGTCTGAGACTCTGTGGGAAGATGAATGGAGGCATAACTTCGCCATCACTAGTGATCACTTCAAACACCTTCGTAATCACCATTAGACTCATCCAACTCTTTCCTAATCCTTTGCACTGTCCTCAAATTAACACCCATACACTCCGAAATGCTCATATTGGAACTTCTGGCGCGAATGCCAAGTAGTACAGCGGGCCGTTTCCAAATTTCTAGCGAAGTGAATTGCGTCATGATGCTTTTTTTTTCTCACAGACGGCGCCCAATTGAGCTTACTGTAATGTGCAGCCGACAAAATAAAAAAACAAACAAACAAACAAAAAAAATCAACGCGCATGCGCGAAATTAAAAATATAAAATGGTGACAATTTCCC